TTTTTTTCAGCTTTACTAATTAACATAGAAGCATGTGCACAAGAAGCTGTGTTTAAGAAACCTTTGAGTTTATTAGTTCAAATCGAGATTCAGTTATGTAGATAGTAAACCCATCATTAATATAATAGAACCTTAGCAAAGTGAAACCTTAATGCTCAATGGACATATGTTCTGATCAAGATTGAGTATGCGCCAGAAGTGAAGGGATACACTCCTAAATAGGAATTGCTCTTAAGAGAGTTGAGAAAAAGAATATTAGGTGTAGTACTTCCAAATATTCAATATAATTGAAAGCTGCAAATTTGGCAAAATGTTAAATAGAAAAATGCCGCAATTAATGATATAATGCATATTGTAAGAAAGTTATTTCAAGAACGCGCCAGTAGCTCAGTGATAGAGCGTCCTCGATTCCACTTTCAATAAAATCCAAAAACAAATAAAGAAGGAAGACGTAGGTTCGAATCCTACCTGGTGCATTTATTTTTATTTTTTACTCGGATGAAATGATTTTTTCAGATTTCCTATTATGTCTTATGAATAAATTGTCTATCTTCCCAGAATTTTTATTTTTTTATAAATATTTTTGATAAAATTTAGTTTATTAATAAACTCGAGGAGTTACACAAAAGTATAGGAGAAGCGCGCAACAAACTGCACTGTAAGTCCTTTCTGAAATGCAGGCAGTGAGTTTATTAATATATGGCAGAAGAATGCAGTCAAAGCATAATGGCTTTAATTTGGAGAGCTTTCAGTTACAGGTAGTATCTAAAGCAATACTGACTGATTATGCTTACGCTCATTCCCATATCTTCCTCTACAATCTGATTTAGTTCAGTAGTAGGCATAAATTGAAACTGTCCTCTTCAATTTGTCAGAGAAGTTATCCAGTATTCGATTCTGCTCTGTTGCCCTCCCTGTACACATCAAAGCCACCATCTGAATCAAAACCCTATAGCAGTCTGCAGTCATCATCGTCACAGCCTGAGAATGCACCTCTTTAGTTTGCATGGAACTTGAATGCTTATTACCCGAGCTTGGATTATTTGAAAGGAGCCCGCTTACCTGCTCTCCTTTCCTCCTATCGCAAGAAAGGATCCCATCAAAATCTTGGCTATTGAGATGACTAAGTGGGCCCACTTCAAAATTCTGACAAGCAGATGACTAAGGCCACCTGTTTGAATAGTCCATGAAAGCATACACAAAATACTAATTCAGCATTCAATATTAATTCCATTCTGAAACTAATATTTTTGTAGGTAATCTTCCGAATCCAATCTCTTATCTCTATACCATGGTATGGTAGAATGATTTCTGCTAAAATGGTGCAGAAGCAGATCGATCCTACTTCGTCATGAACCTTCGTCATTGTTGAAAATTAACTGATACTGTTGTTACATGTTAGTTGCTTTTATACATTGGGGGTAAACAGAATAAATTGGTTAGTGCTTCTTCTAACATAATCAGATTCCATGCTCACATCTTAGAGCATCTTCAATCCTTACAATATTTTGTTTCCCACGAATTCAGTAATGGCAGGATTAACTGGTAAACCAGCACGGTTTCTTCAGCCATGGAATACTTACAGATGAGGATCTTCGGAGGAAGTACAAGTCACAATAAAAATAAGCCCTTGGAGCTTATTACATACTTCTATCATCAATCATCATGCGAACAAGTAGTGAAACATGATCCACTTGGATTGCAACTAGTTTTGCTTGTGCTGCATAAAATCATCAATACCTGCTATTTTACAACCTTGAACACCATTAAATGCTTAGGGCATCAAAGTTACACCACAGTATACTTTTCAGAAAGGACGTTGTTCAGCAAAAACTCTACCTTCAATCATTGAACTTGGTCCAACATTGGAGGAAGACATGCATTCAGCACACTTGGGAGTTGGGACTATACAAGCACCATGGACTGCCAAGAGAAGTTTACACATTTGCATTCAAGCAGGATTAAAGACAACCCACAAATATTGCAATTGTCAAATACAGATAGCAAACATTTGTTTTTGGTCGATGTACAGATAACAAACATATTTCATTATTGAATAATTCCATTGTAAACAAACAAAATGTCTTGTACTTAACAATATACCATATCAACTGTGTACAGCCAAACCAGAAGACACCAGTAGTCAATCAACAACTACTAGTTGGACCTTAAGGCCAATCCATTAGTCTAACATGTTCTCTATAGTGTTTATGAATAAATAAAATACCGCACTACCTACCACATCTGTTATCCGAACAACGCAAAGAACTGTTCATACAGCATGTAAGTTTTTTCCCTGTTTACTCCTCTCCATAGACTAAATTTGTATCCACCATCACTATCTGCTAAATTTTTTTTGAGGAACTGAAGAGAGGAAGCTATAAACAATTCAGTGTCCAAGCTTGAACTTCCAAATCAAAGCTTGGCAATATAGTCAGGGCAGGCAGCTCCAGCATGAACCTGAATAGCTGCATTTACCATACATCTCTCAGATATCGTCCATCCATCTGGAGTTTCTTCACGCTAGCCTCAGCTTTAGTTGAATCCACCTTTTCCTGAAAGATGAGAGAGGTTCATTGCTATGCACCCAGTTTTTAACAAACTATGCCATACAATCAAATGAATTTCTACCATAGAAACAAA